AAATCATAAGTCATGTATCTCAAAATATCATAAACATCTGTCAAAACATATCAGAGTATAAAACATCACAGGCTAAATAAATGGTGTGTGCACTGGAATCATCCCGAGCCCTTCCCCTTGCTACCGGAAGTACCTGAAACCAAAACTGAAAACTACAAGCACGAAGTTTAGTGAGTCTCCCCAAACTACCACATACCATACACATAATCACATAATAACATACATTGGGCCTTGCCCGGCATCGGACCGAAGTCTGGTATACATATATCATATCAACAAGCATATAACATAAACACATAACATAAACCTATAATCATTCCTCGGGCTTGCCCCGGCATCGGACCGAAGCCCGAAACACATAACACATAACATATAGGTTAAACATTCCTCGGGCTTGCCCCGGCATTGTACCGAAGTCTGGAACATATAAACGAACACATGCAAAAATCACGAAGACATCAAGCATACAAACATTCATCGGGCTTGCACCGGCATCGGACCGAAGTCCGGAAGCATATAAACTACATCGGGCTAACCCCGACATCTCTAGCATACATAAACGGGCCGACCTTGGTGGCTTAGACCCGTTCCTACTGGAAGAGGACTCACCTCGCAAATCTGGTTGATGTATCTCTCGGTAAGGAATCTCTATCAGCTGCTCCCACGACTCTCTGAGCTATCATTACCAAATAACACTTAGTCAAAATCCAAACAATCCTTCTTAGGGTAAAATGACCATTTTACCCCTGATCTAAATGGACCCATGACCTAAGCCCCAAATCCATAACATGAAGGCCCAAATCCATATATTCTCACTAAGCCCACTAATGGCCCACTTATGGCCCAATTTTCTAAATTGGGCTAAATTTTCTAAATTGGGCCCAACTTCTCAAATGGGCCTTCCCTCAAGTACAATATGCAATAAAATCCATTATCAGCCCAAAAGAATAATCCACTAAGGCCCATAATCAACTATTCCAAGGAAATGGCCCAAAAAGGCCCACTGTCGCAACAAACGCAGGATGTTCCCTTGTGGAACGTTGGACGTTCCTCCTTGGTTCAGATCGCGAGCTCCAGTGGGAACGCATCGTGTTCCCAAGACCTATGCAGGGCGTTCGCGTCCAGTTTTCAAAAACGGTCCATTAAGCACTTAATGCTTAAGCCATTCTATCCAAACACAGATCCAAGCTATCTAGGACCTCTAGAATTATAAAGTCACAGACTTGGTGACTTTGCATGCCCCCTTAAGTCCAAATCTCAAGGAATAGGAACCAACTTACATAAATGTGGTCCTAACTCTTGCATGAACCCAATAAGACCTCAAAGATCGAAACTTTACTGATGTAGGGACACCATTAGCATCAAGGGTGGCAACCCTAGGCCTATAAACGAATTTGAGTCATAAAGATCCATTCTTGGGACTAAAAAGATCCAAAACATCATCACACTAGATCTAATCATGCTTGAGGAAAGTTGTGAACTTTATACCTTCAAAGAGTCCCAAAGGATGATGCTATCCCGGATCTACGAGCTCAAGATACTCAAGTTCTTCATCACTAGCTTCTCCTTCCTTCTTCCAAGCTTCTAAGCTCCAAAACAAGCTTCACAAGGCCACACACAAGAATGAGAAAAAGGAGGCTATCTAGGGTTTTCTGAGGTTGAGGGGTTGGTAAGGAGGCCAGGGCTTGAGTCATAATGTTGTTTATATAGGTCCTAAACCCTAAAAATTAGGGTTTGCATTCAGCGCGGGAATGCAGCGCGATCCTCAGGGGAACGCCCGCGTTCGGGCTCCGCCTCCAAAATCCAAGTTTGGCAGAAAAGGTCCCTCCTTCCTCCAATTTCCATAATAATAAGGTCCAAAAGCAATAATTCAATATGTAAGGGATTGAAATGTAAATAATACCTGGACTGGGTGTTACAACTCTCCCCCACTTGAATCAGACTTCATCCTCGAAGTCCGCTGTGTCTGGAAATAACTCCGGGTAATGCTCCATCATCTCCTCCTCGGGCTCCCAAGTCCATTCTGAGCCCTTGCGGTGCTGCACTACTAGAAAAACAGCCTTTTACGACGCGCAATTCGTGTCGTAAAACGCTCAGACGACACGCAAATGCATGTCACGAAAGGCCCTGTCATACCGAGGGACGACACACTTTTGCGCGTCATCTATTTACGACGTGCATTTACGACGCACATTTACGACACACATTTACGACGCACACTTACGACACACAATGCGTATCAAGGAAGGCCCTGTCATAAAGGAAGACGACACGCATTTGCGTGTCGTAACCTTACGACGAGCGTTTAGGACACGCATTGCGTATCATTAAAGCCCCTGTCATAAATGAAGATGACATGCATTTGCGTGTCATAAACTTCAGCAACCATTTACGAAGTTTATTTCACTAATATGTCAAATACAAATAATTATTCAAATAATACAAAATAAAATACCATAAATAACAAAGATAATTCATTTCACTAATATGTCAAATACACATAATTATTCCAATATTGAGTAAATGTAATAAAAAAATGAACTCAAGAGAAGCAAAATTTATATACAATTGCATTATCTAGCTTACTATGTGCCAACAACTCTCTGTGTGTTTGCTTGAGTCTCGTTTCCTCCAAAGCTTCTAGCCATGCCAAAGTATGATATCTTAGGGTTTATGTCCACCAGGTGGTATGGATGGCAATTAAGCGCTTGGATCATTAGCTAGTTCTTATGCTATCCAGTGTACTTAATAAAACAACAAATCCACCTTATTAATCAATTGATGTTAACTAATATAAAACAGGTAATGAACTTACTATTAAGCAAAGAAAGAAACTAACCTTATTTTTTTACATGAAAGAGTTGAAAGTCCAGCATCTGTGATGTGGCGAACATCTAAGTTAAGTGATCTAAGAGTTGATAATCCGGATAGATTTGGTAAACCTCCATCCATGATAACAGTGAATGAAAGATTTAAAATTTGGAGATTCATCAACCATGCAACAGATTTTATAAAAGATTAATTAATTAATCCTTAAAAATCAAAATTATCAAATTTATATTTCTTAATTTTAGTTAGAAAAATATGTAACCTGAGAGATGACAAAGACCATTGCTTCCAACTTTTGTATCAGACAACTCCAAACATTTCAAACGATGAAGGCCTGTCATTTACAAATATATGCATCAACATCTATATATAAAAACGTATATGCACTAAAACATACATGTTAGATAATTAGCAAAAAAAAATCTTTCATATGAATAAGAGTATCTATTCCGCTACGTTTATTATCAAAAACATATTTTCAAGTGTCTTCTCCAATACAAAAGCTTCTTTTTAACAATTATCTAATTTGTTGTTTTTGAAGCACACATCATATTTCTATAAAATAACTATGTCAGGTCTTTTTTTTACGTATACAAAGATAATAAAATTATCGTATATGTAGTTATAAAAATATTATCCGATAACTATGTTTTTGAATACTTGATATTGGGTCTTACAAAAATCATTTTAATGGTAATTGTTTTCTAGAAAAATATTCATTTTTATTTTGTTAAATCAAATAGATAAGTAGTCAGGAAATAATATACATTTAAGATTAGAATATGATTGGGGGGGGGGGGATATATTATTCAGAATAGTAAAAACTAAAAACTTTATTCTACAATAAGTAGTTGGAGGGAGAAAAAAGACATTTTTGCAATGGTAAAAAGCTTAAAAAATACTTAAATAATAATAAAAAGATAAGTAAAAAAAGAATCACCTGCCAAGTTAATTAGTCCATTATCCCGAATTCTACATGAATCCAATTCAAGCTCTCCAAATTATTTAAACCTGCATCAAGTGGCACAAAAACATGTAATCCTCTAATTTAATAGACATCAAAAACTTCGACTTTATACATGTTTAGTATAAAACATAAATAACAAATAATGAGAGGACAAGAAGCACCTTTCAGACGTACCAAAACAGCATCTCCCAAATTGAGTACTCTTAAAGCCTTTAGCCCTAAAAGCACACCCATGAAATTAAAATTATATTATAAACTAACATATTTAAGGAAAATTTTTTTAGCTTTAAGCTACCCTAAGGAAGACTTACTTGATAAATTTATCAAGATGTTACCATGTCCTCTGGGTTTGTGACCAGTTTACCCTTGTGTTTCCTTCTTTTGTAAACTAGCATGTTTGGGGGCTTATTAAAATCATCGACACCAATCCAGTCAAGAAGATAACCATCGTAAATGAATTGAATGTGGAAAACTAATGAATCTGCAGTGATGCAAAAAGACGGTTATACCCTCATGAGTGGATCTTAAAACATGAGTTATAGTGTTCACCTGATGCTCAAAAAGTTCATAATCCATGTAAACATCAAATCGTCATGCAAATGTGATGTTAGTTTCGGTCTATTTGACTGAGAAAGTCATGTCTCATGCAAATGCTTTGATTCTAATGTTAGTTAATCATTGTGCTTTCACTTGCATCTAAACTCTTACATATCTTTTACCAAGAATATGAAAATAATTAAGAAAGGGTAAAAATAAAAATTATGCAAAAAATTGTCATAAACAACCGCCTTAAGATTTATGTATACATCATCTGCTTGATTGGAAGGAAACATTCAAGTCCTTTGTATAATGTATATATCATTAGTTTCAGTATTTAGTTTACAGAACTAGTACCTCGATACAAAACTCTCCGGTTTTTGGTTCTTTTGCAACAGTGGCTGTCAATCCAACAACATAGGAAGATTTCCCAGATGTGTAAACAGATCTTGAAACTAAGGTTGTTGTGTACCTACAAAAGAAAAAGAAAAAAATTGAGAAACTCTGCCCATATTATATATAAAACAAGATTTAAATAGATATGCTTACTTGAGAAACTAAGATTTAGAACAATTGGGATCTCCAACAATACAAACATTGATGCCCCCCGGAGATTGATCCCTTCATGGGTGAACATATGAACTCCACCCAAAAGCATAAACAAAATTCATCGCTTGATGTCTTGATGACCAAAAACAATAGGGGCCATACTATCAACAAGCTTGTTGAAAAACTCAGGGGTTTTTATCATTTGTTTAACCTCAGCTAGCTCCTCTGCCTACAAAAACAATAAAATAAAAATATAGGATAAGTAAACTTCAATTACAATGTTGAACTATATAAATTTAGAGAATATGGGCCAATAAGGGGACAGAACAACAACATGAATTGTAGATTATTTTCATCCTCATCATTCCTCTTCCTATTTCGTATGTCAGCATCTCTTTTCCCATCACAGATCTGAACAAAGAATCAATGTTATAGACTAGTCCCACAAAAACAATTGATCGCAATATGATTCACAAAAAAGGTGGAAAATGATCAAAAATGGAAAACCTGCACTGAATTGGCAATAAAGCCAAGGTGATAAGAAAGGTCTCTAACTCCCAAATCTCGGAGGCCTTTGACGCCTTCTTGAACATTGCCAGTGGTATCTCTTACATTCAGAGAGAAGGGACAATATGGTCATTAATCTGATGAAGCAGAAAATAAACAGATGCAGGGGGTGGCTTATGTGGAAAAAGGGTTGGATTGAAAAATGGAAAGAATCTAAGGGCTAATCTTGGAATTTCTTTTGGTACTAAAGCAATCGACTGCTTCTTAGACCTTTAAACAACTGTAACAACAATCTATCTTCTTCGATACTCTTGAATAGCTGTCAATATATCAAACAATGGTTAGCATAACAACTTGAAGTTACAACTTACAAGCCAAATAGAAACATAAAGTAAGAAACTTTTGACATACCAATTGAAGAATCATCTATATAGCTTCCAACTAAACTAAGTGGGGCCACATCTATGACAGATAACAAATTCTCACTAACCAAAGGCACCCAGAAGAAGGAACCTTGCATAGAAGATGATATAATTGGTTAAGTTCAAACTTCAAACTGTATAAATAATAATATAAATGAAGGGAAATGATATAATAACAAAAGTTAAATTAAGTTTAACCTATGTGTAGTAGGTGTCTACATCAACTGCTTCTCTTTGTTCTGAACTTTTGACATACCAATTGAAAAATCATCTATATAGCTTGCAAGTTATTGAACTGTTACAAGGGACAACATGATGAAACAAAAACAATTAAAATAGGGCATAAAAATTCAGTAATCAAAAACATTAGGAGACAAGGTTCCAATCCATAGAATTAGAAGAACTTGGTATTTCTATTGTTTTTCATGTGAAAATCATTGAAGCCACTAATGAAAAAGCCGCCATTGTCAACAAACTGACAGAACTTCAAGACATGTAGAAACAAAGAAATTTTATCTGGATACCCAATTGGGCAATGTTCATCTTCCAAAATTTTCGTTTTGATTATACATTCTTGAATTTTTTTTTAATCAAGTTTACATTTGCAGTTCATAAGGAAGCATAGATTTCGATGAGAATAGAGATCCCTGGTCTAAATCCCAAACAAACATCAATACATATTACCTCATAAACAACAGCCCAAACATAATTTTCACAATATAAAAGAGGCAATAAATAGTCAAAAACAGGGAAATACATATGAAAATTGCAAAGGAATTTTTTTTTTGAAATATATATGAAACTCTGACATTGTACAAAGATTTCGTATGTCACAACCGTTAAATTTGGAACTTAACATCACATCCGTTAAATTTGTAAATTGACCATTTTACCCTTGGATTATCCATTTTCTTTACCATATTTACAAAGTAGTGAAAGCAAGGGCAAAATAGTCATAACCATAACATTTTACCAGCAGGATCGTTAACGCGGACTACCCAGACACAAAAATCACAAAAAACCATTGAAATGGGAAAAAATGTTAACAGGAAAATAGCAATGACAATTGAAAAAGAAATTGTTTGGAAACATAAAAAGACCAACGATTATCATTATAATTTATAGAATTAAAAACAAAGTTTATAAAATATTGAGAAAAAAACCTCCAAATGAATTCCTAACAAGATGAACTGGTTCCCCAATAACATCAACGATAATGCTCCAAAAAAGCACCAAAACCATGCACAAGAAGAATTGCAGGACCTTCACTTCCCACAACAGCATACTGAAAATAAAAAAAACAAGAAAAATCCCGTGAGTGATTTGAAATCAAATTCAACTATATTAGATAACAATTCCACTTCCAATACCGAATAGAATATCTTTTAGTTGAATCAAGTTGACTTCTTGATGCCAAAAAGACTATACCACTGCCAAAAAAGTCACAATTTTGGAATAAGATTCATCAAGATTGAGGGCGATAGTGGAAAAAGCACACCTCTGTAGAGAGAACATGACCAGCTGCTGCAGCAACGGTGGCAGTTGAGTATCCAAAGGCTGACACAAATCCACCATTTATGTCTTTTTCATATTTTAGAGTCTCATAATACACTCTCTATCTAGAAACTATTCTAAGCTCAAGGGTAGGTCCAAAAAGAGTACCAAATGAATCTCCTTCACGGATATAAAACATGCTTCAATTATCTGTATTAACAAGTCAAAAATCAAGATTACAAATCCAAATCCAATAACTCACATGCTTCAATTATCTGTAATAACAAGTCAAAAAGAGTACCAAATGAAGCTCCTTCATGGATATAAGACATGTGTTTCAATTTAAACTTTTATATTTGATAAAAGCATCAACATTTACACTTACTGCATATGATCAATCTTCTAAAAGACAAATAGGAGAACTTATTGTCCATATTTTAACATAACTAATAACAAAGTAGAGCATATGGCCAATGTGAATAAGCCAAGTGGCCAAGACAACACTAACAAGTAGATCAAAGCCCCTGTGGCCTGAAACAAAATATATAAACTAAGTTACTTACTTCAAGGTGAGGTCATGGATACTTTTTATATGTTTTGAAATACAAATACCTGAAGAAGATTGTGTAATATTAGGTTAAGATCATTCCCAATAACACGTGACAATCTGATCCTAACCGACTAGTCAAATCTCCAACACTTTCAGAGTCAAAAAAGTTTATATCATGTGAAAAAAGTGAGGTTACAGATGATGTTGATATATCATAATGATGTTTTTGTCCAGAAAGGTTCATATAACCTCCTGATCAGATTACTAATAAAAATGGATTTATTTGGCAAATTGAACCTAGATACCAAGTCTTGTAGTTCAATCATCTTATGCTCGAGTCCTTTTGTTGCATATAGATAGATAAGGTAGCCAAAAGTGGTCTCATCTGGGTGAACACCTAACAGAGACATTATGCCGAGCACCTTGTGCGCATCAGTAACTGATTCTTGTTCAAGGCAACAACCCTAAAAAATAGCGTTATAAGCAGACAAATTGAGTTTGTGATATATCAACCAATAGATCTGATAGCACATAAAAACTATCTAAAATGAAAAAAAAAACATGTATATATACCTTCCTTGTACCGTCCATGGCGACTATACGGGTGTAAGGTCGTTTAGAAGGAGATGAGAGACATATGTGAGAATTGACATTTTAGAAGGGTGATTGAGTTGTGAAGAGTGACGTGGAGTCGAGCTTCGAAGAGAGGCAAAGCCCGGAGAAAATAGGCGGAGTAGCAATGGGGGATTTAGGACCGGAGAGTTGGGATGTGGTGTAAGATAAATTGAAATTATCGCCAAAGTAAACCCTAATTTAGAGCTTGGAGGCCATAAAAATGGTGATAGCTGGTAGCAAGTGGTGAATAGGGGACGGATAAGTATTGAATATGATCTAGGGTTCATTGTGGTTTGTAGTTGATACCATGGTTGCAGAGCGCCAAAAATCTGAAAGGGAGAAAGATTCACAACCGCACAGTGCTAATAGGGTTTCTTCATTAGAGGATTTTACACCAGAAGGAGGAGATGCATCACTTTGATAACATCAACATCAAAAATATGAAAGGGAGAAGATCTCAGAACAAGCGGGGCTTTGAATTTTTTGGGATTTCATTTCCCCCCTTAGGTGTTAAAGGATGGGGGCGCGTTTCACTAAAAATCTATAAAACGACATTCTTACACGACAGCCGTTTAAGATAGGTGCCCTCCGTGTTTGAATTTTTTTTTGTTGGACACCAATTTTAGGGCACGCAAAAATGCGCGTCCTCTATCCTTCATATTTTGAAAAACTAACATTATTTTAAGGACACACAAAAAATGTGTATCGTAAATCACTGCGTGTCATTGTTTGCGCGTCGTAAAAGGCTGTTTTTCTAGTAGTGCTGCCATTGTACCTTCACCAACTCAACCCTCTTGTTCCTTAGCTCATTCGTCTTCTTATCAAGAATAACTACCGGTCTCTCAATGTAATTCAGGCTGTCATCAACCTGAATGTCCTCTAGGGGCACAGCCGCAGAGTCATCCACTAAGCACTTTCGTAACTAAGAAACATGGAAAGTGTTGTGGATCTGGCTGAGCTCTGCTGGAAGTTCTAAACGATAAGCAACCCGGCCCACCCGAGCCAACACCCTGAACGGACTAATGTATCTGGGGCCCAACTTGCCCTGCTTCCTGAACCGGATGACACCTTTCCAAGGTGACACCTTCAGGAGGACCATATCGCCCGCCTGAAACTCCAAGTCTAAACACCGCTTGTCGGTGTAGCTCTTCTGCCGACTCTGAGCAGTCTGGAGCCCGCTCCGGACCTGTTGGATTCTCTCAGTAGTCTTGAGTACTACTTCAGTACTCCCCATGACTCTCTGACCGAACTCGCCCCAACAGATTGGGGTCCTACATTTCCTCCCGTAGAGCATCTCAAAGGGATGTCAGTCTATGTTGGCGTGGTAACTGTTGTTATTCGAAAATTCCGCTAACGGAAGATACGTATCCCAACTGCCACCTAAATCCAAAACACATGCGCGCAGCATGTCCTCGAGAGTTTGAATCGTCCTCTCGCTATGTCCATCCGTCTGAGGGTGGAAAGCGGTGCTGAAGTGGAGACGAGTACCCATCTCCTCGTGAAACCGCTTCCAAAACCTGGAAGTGAAACGGACATCTCGGTCTGACACCACCGAGACAGGCACTCCATGCTGTGCCACTATCTCACGCACGTAGATATCGGCCAGCTTCTCGGCCGATATGCTCTCCTGGATCGGGATAAAATGAGCACTCTTGGTCAACCGATCCGCGATGACCCATATCGAATTTACTCCACGTGCGGTCCTGGGAAGCTTGGTGATGAAATCCATGGTGATATCTTCCCATTTCCACAAAGGAATGTCTAACGACTGCATCTTGCCGTGTGGTCTCTGGTGCTCGGCCTTGACCTTCCTGCAAGTCAAGCACCGCTCTACATACCATGCTACGTCCCGCTTCATGCAGGGCCACCAGTAATGAAGGCGAAGATCCCGATACATCTTCGTCACCCCGGGATGGATGGAGAACCTCGACTTGTGGACCTCATCCATCAGAATATGCCATACTTCGCCCCAGTACGGAACCCATACCCTCCCATGCAGGGTCAG